ATGCAGTATTTTGCGGAAAAAACTCTTCAGAAAACTTAAATAATGGTAGAAACAAGAGCTCCTTCTTTGCAAAATCATGCCCTTACTCAATGAAAATCCAGTAAAAACTCTCAATCATTTCATTTTAATATTCCATGTCAGTAACAAGGGAATCAAAGCATAAATTGTTATTGAATAATTCTTTTTCCTAAGCTGTTTGTGCAAAGCAAACTGAAGTCCTTGAAAGAAATGCTCTCTTTGCATGGTAGTGTGCTTAAACTATGGAACGGATGATGTATGAAATAGCTCGTTACTTCAGATGGATTAATAATGTAAACTAATGAAAATTCTGTAAAGAAATAAAAAAGCATGTTGTAGTTTTTGTTGGTCTGTTTGCCTTGGGACACCGGTGAGTAGTTGAATTTCAAGAGTGGTTCATATCCCTAATTTATTCTTGCAACCTGTTGTTCGCTCAAATATTTACGATTGTCATCCTTCCCCCGTTCTTTTTTTGTTCTACTTTGTTATCGGTCTGAAACACCTGGCAGAATTGCACTCTGAATATCCTCTCCTCCCCAGGGTGGCATCCACCTCTGTGAAACCTGCTTGGTGTGAATGCTGTACTTGGAAAAGTGAGCGGAATCCCCCTGAATGAAGGAAAGATGGAGGTGCCAACCACCTGCAGCCAAGATAATGGTACTCACTCTTGTGTATGGTTTTCCAATCAAGGAGTGCTGGCAAGGAGCTTTATTCTTTCATCTGCATAATTATTTTTCAGTGTAGTCACAGCAGAGATGACCATGTTTAGAAGCATTGCTACTAGAAAGTAGGAATGAGTCTTGGTGCTTAATGGAAGTGCAGTTTAGGGTAGGTCTGAAGCGAATACCTGGCATTTATTTCTGTCTTATAAAATCAAAGGTCTCAGCAGCTGCACTGGAAGTTACTGACTAACTGCAAGAGTTAAACAACAATGTTTAAGGAAATCTTTCTCTGCATTTGGAAAGTCTGTGCCTCTGTATGGGCTCTCTTAGCTTATTTCAGCCCTGTTTGCTGTAGGAATAGCATTGCTGGTGAAGATCACTTTGTACGAGTTACCTCAAAAAAAGACAACTAGTAATAAGGAAAATATCTTGAAGTGTCTCCACCAAAGGTAGTGTTTTATTTGACATCAGGATGTTCCTGTGAAAGTGTGTGAGGTTGTTTGTTTTTTATTTTTTGAGTTTAATTTGGAGCAAAGTACTGTTCATTGAGTTTCCCAGAAAATAAATTATTGCTGTGATAACGGGTGACATTTTCAGGCTTTCAGTTTGAATACTCAATAATTCTGCCTAGTGATTGAGGCAAAAGTCCCCTTTGCCAGGAAGTACTGATATTAACTAGTAATCTCAGTGAAACTGAACTGGGGGATAAGAGCACCTATAAGTATTGATATAAAGGCCTAGAACTGACAAAGGAAAATAGTAACCATCAACAGGTATAGAAAATGTGCTTGAGAGATGCAAGGGAAGGAGAAAGAGTAGCTGCCGTGTTCAGGTTAACTGTAGTGACTGGATTGTAGCAGCTGATGGCATTGAGTCTGCAGTAGAGAGGATTCCGTTATTTTAGGGCCTGCTGGATAAGCTGTAGTTTAAAAAATGATTTGGGTGTATTGGCTTTGGGTGACATAAATACAAAAGCTCCTTGTGCCTTGGTTTTATTTCAGCGTTCCTAATAGGACAAGTACCATTTCTAATAGTAAGAAGAAGCTCTTCCCTTTTCCTGGGAGGTGTTCTGGGTGTCTGATAATGTTGTTGTATATCTTTGGTGGGAATGTGCATTTCTTACAATACTCCCACGTCTGGCGCACTCGAGCGCAGAGGAGGACAGGACAGGCAGCCTCCGCGCCGAGCAGCGGGCCGTTCAAAACAGGGGCCAGGGATGTGAACAAGGCAGATGTTCCAACAGGAGGCGTGACCTTGAACCCAGGCTGTTTGGGGGATTCCCTGGGTGTTTATCTCTTGGCTCTCTGGAAGATTTCTTGCATTGACCTAATCCTGCTGATTATTAACAAAAGAAAATTCTCATGTGAGAGTTGGCTGCAGGAGACGTTTTAAAGCATTGCCAACAGGAAACAATGCATGTTTCTTGAAAGCATAAACTGAAGTGGTTTTTCTCAAAGTCTGGGTCACCTGTTAGCTTTAGCTGATCTTCTGTGGGTACTGAAATATATTGCACTTTTCTGTTTCTTGGGCTCAGGTTTATCTCATGTTCTGACTCTAGTGCTGCAAGAACTGAGCTTGCTCTGTAAAAAGGATGTCAACGGCGTTGGCATGTTATATGACCTGCTCAAATCTCCTTGGCTGCAAGCTCTCCTAAAGGTATAGTAATTTTTAGTTTTGAAGGAAAAGACTTTTTGGAGAAAAAAACATGCAGTGGATAGCTTCCCCATTTTGCTTTCTTAGGACAGTAAGTGTACATTTCCACAAACTGCTAATGATTTTAATATTGGAACTAATAGCAGCAGTAAAGATGAATAAAAGCGCTTCTGCTTAAGGTGGAGAAAAATATATTCTTGCATGAAGTCCTAGAAATAAAAGCTCTTTGATAAGAGCTGTATAAAGCAGGGGACAGGTGAGGTAGAGGAGGGTCAAAGCATAGCCTGAACACAGCACTCTTCAGCCATCTGTTCCACTGTTAAACTTGGTTCTGTTTTAGGAGGCTTTTGAGGGCGGAATGTTTGTGAAATTAAATCTTCTGGTGTTGGCCACATCGATCTGATGTGTAGCTGAAGGTGGTATGTTAGCATAGAACAGCTCTCGTTGGTGTTTCTCTGTTAAGCAGGACAGGGTCCTCAAGGGACTGTCTCTGAATTCTATTTTTCTCTATCTTTTTCTAAAATCCTTTGAGTATTTTTAATAATTTCCATTGGATAAGAATATCTACAAGCCCCTCTCTGGCACCTTTAAATACAACAAAATATTTTGTTTTAAGTTTACTTTGTTAATGGGACCTGCACTTAGGGGAAGCAAACAAAGCACAAATTGGAGAGTTGACCCTATTGGCCCACTGTCCAATGTAATCAACTCTTCATTGGAAATTTAAAAACAACTGCGTAACATCATTGTATAATGTCTTGTCTATTGTGGTATGCAACAGATCTATGAGTGCCTCCAAAATTACCTCGGAAAAAGACCAGTTCCCATCACAGTGCAGGCATGTGTGTTGAATCGTGAGGTAAGATCATGTATTCACACTTGGTTTACTTAATAATACCAAATTAGTCAGCTTAATTGCAGGTAAGAATGTCCTTGTATTTATTTTATGTCTCTGACATGAGTGTGCTACATAAACTTGAAAGAACCTCTCTTCGCAGACGTTTGTCAAACTAATTGACAACTATTTTCATATTCAAAGAGTGATGAGAAATTCATAGTGCTGTTATCACTAGGCTACATGAGTTCTGACCAGTGTAATAAATACGTAACTTTTCTTGCTTTAATCAAGATATTTTTCTTCCTTACATTATTCTTCCCATTTCACTATTGTTCAGTGTTATGGATAGTGTAAAGCACTCTGATCATAATAGTCGAATAATTGTATAACTACTGAATTGGTGAAAGAGTTGTTAACTAGGTGGAGGAAGTTAATGATGAAATTGATTTGCAGAATAGGAGAAAGGAGTTAATTTAGAACATGTCCACGCTGTGAAACACATCTATTCAATAGCTAGCCTGATCCTATATGCTATGGGTACATCCTCTGAAATTAAAAACAAAACAAACACTAAAGCAACCATCCTAGACTCACAGGGGCAGGAAGGGAGAAGGCTTAAGTCTTACCATACCATATGCCTTTAAATTCAGTATAAAGCTGTCTTTAAAATAATCGTCTAGCAGAACCAGTGTCTATGTTTTCTTCCTTGCACTTAGGTGGTGGAATTACTACGTGAAGCCCCCCAGTCTGGGGAGATCAAGGAGCTAAGGCGACTTCTGAGATCTCCACACCTAAAGGCAAGTCCTGCTTAAAGAAATGAAGAGTTTTCTCAGAGATGTCTCTAGCAGGGATAGAAACAAATGGCCAGCCGTTCACAGGAATTGGCAATGGAGTTAGAAGAGGCTTAGTTTACTCTTGTCATGTACTAATAATCTAGCTGTGAACTCAGATGTAGACTGTATATCTGAAATCCTTGGAGTGGATTGTGCTTTATTTAAAGGTTATGTTTGAGAGAGCAGCTTCTTGCAGAGTTAAATTCTGAGCAGCTGAGGCAGAATGGTGACACGTGAAAACAACACTTTTTGTTTCTGTAAAACCCACATTCTTACGCTAGAGTGGCAAATAGGGATGTTTCTTCTTTTGTAAATTTTCTAGCAGAAGCAGAGAGAGGACCTGTTTTTTAAATTTCACCTTGCACTTTGAATTCCCCGGTGGAAAGAACAATAAGCGAAATTGTGCCTATGTTCCTACGCCCATGTAGGAACTTAGTATCTAACCTCTGTTTCCTTAACTGGGCACTTTATAAAACTGTTCTACTGTATGATCTTTGCTTGTGGGTTTATTTGCTTGTAACAGGCCTTGTTAACTGCTCACGATACTGTTGCCCAGAAAGATTTTGAACCAACTCTCCCACCCCTACCAGACAACATACCTGAGAACGAGGAAGCCATGAGGATTGTCTGCTTAGTGAAGAACAAGCAGCCTCTGGTGAGGGAGCTTTCTGATGTCTGACAAATTACCTGTGCAAGTACTGAATATGTCACATGCACACAGATTTCCTTCCAGGAATGTCGTAGAGCCTGTTTGCCACCTTGTCCAGCTTTTTTAGAGCCAGAGAATCACGGGATGGCTGAGGGTGGAAGGGATCCCTGGAGGTTATGCAGTGCCACCCCCTTGGTCGGCGCAGGGACAACTAGAGCATGTTGCTTTTGCAGCCCTACTGAGTCAGGCTTTGACCATTTGGCAGGTATTTTTATTTCAGAAGATGAAAATGCAACTATCATTGAGAGTGATTCCTTTGGACAGGATAGGAAGGAAGGAAAGGAGGAGGGACCCTGAAAGATTCTTTAGAAAACAGGCGGCCTTACAAGCTGAAAATACAGTATTTTTTAACTAGTCTGGTCTAGGAATGGATGGGTGTAGTACTTGAGATGGGAAAGATTTGTTACAGTCAGTCACTTCAGGTTATTTTAGTATGATGGGAGTTGGAGGTGTTGAAGGACTCGGCACAATGCTAATAGCACTGAAAATGATGTGTTATTGCTATTTTCTGCAGTTTTTAAAAAGTAGTATCTTTCAATGCCTTTGTCACAGCAAACATGATCAGCCTTGTATCTCAAAAGGAAGCTTAAAGGGTTTCTTCAATTATCAAAGTGTGGATTTTTTTTTTTTTTTGACAGGGTGCCACCATTAAACGCCATGAGATAACAGGTGACATAACAGTTGCCCGTGTGATCCATGGTGGACTAGCAGACAGAAGTGGTATGTATCATTTGAAATAGAGGTAACACAAAAGACAAACTTGAAGTAACGTATTTGAAATAAGATTTTTGTAGAAGTTTTACTTCTATAATTAGTCATCCCTCATAGAGCAGATGTGCGTATTGAACAGCGCTGTGTGAATAGTGACGCACTGCAGTGACTTTTGATTCCAGTTTCGTTAATTTTCACTTGAATGTGCCGTATTTGAGTGTGAGTTGTTACAAATATATTCTTCTTTTTTTGTTACCTATTCTTGACACCAGCACTTCGGTAAGTCTGCCATGAGACTGATCAGTAATATCCAAAACTGCGGTGCAGTATGAGCACTAGTAGCTCGCTCCCTAATGGAAAATGTCAGTAGTCTGTGACACAGAACAACAGAAATGGTCTCTGAGCAATATACTGGAATACTTTTTGGCACTGTCTACTGAACACTTTGTTGGTATTAGCTGCTTAGCAATTTTCAAGGAGCTTCCTAGGAAATGTTACTAATTTGTTGTCCCAGAGTTGTTCCATGTGCTCTGAGAAATATGAAATAGCTAAAAATAAATTCTCAAAACAATTACAACATAGCTACTTTCAGCATTTCCTGGCCTCTGTCTATAGAAGAAATATTAGCAGGTATGCAATAGCTGAATAAGTTTTTAGTTTAATGCTTTAAGTTGAAGGAAAATGTGACAATTTTTGCTGTCCAACAAAACTAAAAAATAGTGTGAAGAGTATGTAAAGACTAGACATGAGTTCCCATTCCTCCCACAGCACCTGAGAAATAAGGAGTCTCCAGGGATCTGGCTCTAAATCTCATGGCTTATTAGTATAATGGATTTAGCTGGAATGGACTCAGAAATAGCTCCCAATAATGGGGCTGTATTGAAGTGTTGCTGCTACTTTTAGGACAAAGCATTAATGTATTGTAAAGGTATTGCATGAAGGAGAAAGGAAGGAATAAGAAACCTGAAGCACGAAATTCATGTGACCCACAGAAATTTATAGCCCTGTCCAGTAGCAATATAGCTCAAGTCTGAAATACTTTTCTGCAATTAATTTATGGAGCTTTCAAAATCGGCTTCCAAACCCGTGGTGCAACTGGTGCTGCAACTTTTGGTGTATCCCATAATTGCTGGGTGTGGATATTCTTCCTCTCTCCTCCCCTCATAGTATTGTCCATGCTGTGATAAAACTGCTGCTGCTTTCATGCTTGTTAGGGCTGCTGTACGCTGGAGACAAACTGGTGGAAGTCAACGGAGTTCCTGTTGAGGGACTTGACCCAGAGCAAGTTATTAATATTCTGGTATTGGATTTTTTTCTACTATGTACCTTTAGAAGTAATAGTGGGTTTGTTTTTTATACTCCTTCCCAGTCCCCATCTCTTTCTTCCCATCCTCACCATCCCCCACCCCACAAAAAAAATTCTTTGCTATGGATGAAGTTCACATGAAAACAGAATAAATCTTGTGCATATTTAAGCCTAAAAAAATGAAGACATATATGAAACAAGAATTGAATCTAAACTCTGTCCTGGACAGAAATCAACTTCACCATGGCCTTTCCAGCTTAAGCTTTTGTGGAAAATCTTAATTCACACTTTGTTTATCTTGGACATTCCACTCACTTTGTCTTCCACAAGAAAGTAGTGGAAAGGCGCTGCGCAAGTCCTGCCTTACAAAATGCACTAAAGCAAATAAATGATCCTGTAAGCCAGATGGATTTTCTCATGAAGAAATCTCTATTAAGCTGTCCCTGTGCCTTGTTTGTCATTTTACCCACAGTCTTTCAGGGGTCCTTGCTGTGAAGAGTTAGTCACAGTCAGTAACGAATTGCTGTATGTGATTATTATCAATTATTTCTAAAAATTATTTCCCTGACTCTTCTTATTTTTCTCGGTATGAGAAATAAAGACACCTTAATTTTTGAATACTTAATATTATTTTCCTCCCTTTTGGCATCTTACCAGACCTGCAGATAATTTAAATTAGACTTCAGTAGAAAAGTTTGGTCTGGATGAATGGAGAAATTACGTATCTTTATAATACACTGTGGATTTCACTGAATTAGAAATACTTGGCAAGATTTTGAAATTTTTCTCCGTGTTCTTTTGGAAAAACACAGTAATGTTAAATACTGGGTCAGTCTGCTTAAGCTGTATCTATTTTATAATATAGTAAACTGAAATTTTAGCAAGGAGCCATACTGTTATGCTTGTGCTTGGTGATTTGTGTTGAATACCAGTTATATGTTATAGTTTGTTGTTGTTTTTCTTTCATTTAGGCCCTGTCTGAGGGAACAATTATGTTCAAATTGATTCCAGTTTCTGATCGGCCTGTCACTAACCAAACAACAGTAAGATTAATTTTTTTCTTCCAGATTGCTACTGCATGCAGCCAATCAATAATGTCTCATGGGCAGTTTGCTTGGAAGTTTGCTGCTGCTTAGATGTTCACTGCAATCCTTAAAGCTTGTCTTGTTTTTGCTGCTACCTCCCAGCTAACAGGAATACGCTGTTGCTGAAGCAATGAAGATAAGCTGAAATATAGTTATATTAAGATAATAAAGGTATCTTTGGGGTCAGCCATAGATTAAAGGCTGAATTCCCTCCCCACCACCTTCACACTCCCTAATGAGTAGATAGGATTTGGGGCTTGATCTCGTCTTCTGAAGAGAGCTTCCACTTACACTTATGTATTTTTACCAGCTATACGTGCGAGCAATGGCAGACTATTGGCCCTTGCAAGATCCTGCCATACCATGTGCGGATGCGGGTTTGCCTTTTAAGAAAGGTGAAATACTCCAGATCGTGGACCAGAACGATGCTTTTTGGTGGCAGGCCAGGAAAGTTTCAGATCTTGGTGCCTGTGCTGGACTTATACCCTCAAATCATCTTCTTAAAAGGTAAAGAAGTCTTAATGTTTCTGATTTCAAATCCAGAAATATGCCAATCACTCAAAGTTTGCTATTAAAATGTATATGAGTTACGTAGTAGTATTATTCAGAGCAGGTGAAAGTCATTTTTCCTTTTTCTGTTTTCTGACTTCTTCCTCTTAAGGAAAGAAGTTTCCTTAAGAGTTTCGATGAGAGAATCGCCTTTTAGAAGCGCCTGCATCGTCTTAAATTTGAGTCTAAAAACTTGACAGCAGTTGCCTACACTCTATGCCAGCTGCTAAGGCACCTAGTGGAGTGGAGCAGCTGAAAGTTGGGTGGGAATAGAAGACCTTGACTGTTTAAGACAGTTGTGATTTAAAACAGAATACAAGGAGAAGTATGGGATACTATATGTATGGTATAACTGCTTAGCTGTACCTGTTTTTGGAGGTATCCTGTGAGGCATGAGTGATTTCTTTGCTCAAAGCTGAGTTGACAGGTTAATTTTTTTTTTTTAAGATAGGATGCTTTCAGAAACAGTAACTAAATTGTTGCAGCACACTTCTCAGTTTCATCTTCTAACCGTATGCTACGCTCAATGTAAGGCATGAATTATGCAGTCATAGGTGAAAGCTGTAATTTATACTGTGCAGAAACCTAGCTGTACATTGTATAGTGAAAACTAAAAATGTACGAACTTCATCGATTAACTCCAAATACTTCTGAGCTGTTGTGGAAACTGCCTTCAAATGGTTCTAATAGAATGCTGGATTTTCTTCAACACTGCAGTGGGCTAAAGCTTTGGTAGTGTTTCCATTCTTGGTGTCTTTGTTCAGCTCAGCCCTAATTTCTTGCTGTGTGTAAGCAGTGAATCTGACTTGGAGCCCAAGGGCCTTGGGAACTGACTTGTTTCATTATTAACTGCCTAAAATTTCTTCCGCTGCAGGAAGCAGCGAGAATTCTGGTGGTCTCAGCCTTTCCAGCCCCATCTCTGCCTCAAGTCATCAATATGTGAGTGAAAAGTTATTTCGATGATTGAGTAGAGAGGAAGGGTCTCCATTTCCAAGAATACTGAAATCTAAGCTCATACAATTCAGTTCTTCAATTAAAAGACACTGTTCATGGAGCCGTATTGTAACCTCAGGAGTATGCTATGTATTTTCATGGAAAATAGTGATAGTGCCACTTGGAGGACTGATGGTGGTTGTTGTCTCCAGTGTACTTAGGATGCCACCGTAACAGCATTTATTTCACTAAAATTGTGCTACTTCACTTTAAGTCTTCAGAAAATGTTCTTAATCAAGGTATTCCCTTTTTTTTGGATGGCCTGATAATTTTTAGAATGCTTTTGTGTCATCAAAACTGGTGGGAGAAAGATGCAACTTTTCTCTTTGAGGTTTAAGATGCCTTTCGAGTTTTTGTGGTGATGATCAAAAAAAAATTCATTTACTCTATATATTTGCCAACTATAATTTAACTTCCTATATGCATGTAGTTATTTACCAGAGAAGAATATTTTTTTCCCGTTTTCCCTCCTTGCCTTTTTTCTATTGCTCTTTATATTAACATAACATTTATTCTTCTGTTGTTGATAACTCCCAGATTAAGTTCCTGGGTTTCCTTGCCCAGAATTTCTTTCACACGAACTGCTCTGCTTGTTTCCCAGAGCTTCTGCTCTCTTTCACCATTATTTTTTTTTGTTGCATTTTAACTGCTCCAATGGATACGCTGTGAGCAGTAAGCACTGTGGAAGAAGGTAAGAGGTGGTGGTGGGACTGCACTGCATTCCGGTACCTAAAATCTGCTTAGCAGAATATAGCACATGAGTTTTATAGTCTTTCTTAACTTTAACTTTGCTATGCACTGTATGGCAAGGAACTGAGAACTTGGAAGGGTTTCTTGGTGGAGGGAGACACCTTTTTCCCCCTCATTCTCTCCCCTCTTCAGTAGCTGACCCCAGCAGCTCTTAATAACTTCTGGCAGATTCCTAGAATTAAAGGAGTTTGGGACTGAAACTGAGCCTGATTGGCAGATTGCATACCCTTGCACTTGGAAAATAGCTGCCTTTGGGTCCAGCTTTAAATGTTTTATTATTTCAAAAAGAGAATTCAAATTAGGTCTTATTAAAAACAATATCAATTAAATGAAACAGTTTCCTTGAATGAAACATACTGCAGATGCACATTTACAAACACTAAAGGGGAGGAGGGAATTGAAAACTGCTCTGTCATGATAATACTTGATAGAAATCTGTCGGATGACTATAGTGACAGCCAATTTAAATGTTTTATTATTTCAAAAAGAGAATTCAAATTAGGTGTATTTGGCTCTCAGCCCTTCAGAGCATTAGTTTAAGATGAACTGTTTGCTCACTGAGAAAGAACATCAGTAAGTTAGTGGTACAGTGGTAAAAATCTTCAATGTCTAGAGCTGATTTGAGTTTGAAAGCATTTTTTTCTGATATTAGTTTTTATAAGATTTGCAAAGCTTCCCCCCTCTCAAAATGAATATTTTCTGCGTTAAGGTGACTTGTTTCTTTTCCTCTGTCTTGTGCCTCTCTACAGAGGATGACATGCAGATCGATGAGAAGTGTGTGGAAACAGGTAACTGCCTTCATTTAAGGCTATTCTGGTTGCTTGCAGGTAGTAGTAAGTCTCCTAGTGACCTTACTTGTAGTTTTTTTGTTTTGTTTTAATATATGTACTCTGAAAAATTTCCTACTATATAAAGTATGGTAATCAACAGTTTGCAGTTCTGCTGTGAATGACTAATTAGAGTGAAGTATTGTGCTGAATGAATGGCCACACTTAGGAATATTCCTCCAAATGAGATCAAACCTGATTGATTCACGTTTTGGACTTTGGCCATTACAGATAAAGTCCCTTGCTCTTTTGTACTTTATTCTCGCACTTTTTAGCTGGAGGCCCAGATCCCGGATGGATCTCAGTTCCTGTTGGTGTGTGCCTCACACAAGTGCTGTGAATCTGCAGCCACACAAGCAAATACACAACGCAGCATCTCCTGGTTCCTATGCAAGTTCTCTTTGTTTTTGCACGTATTGTTATCAGGCCCAATAAATTTCAGTTTCTGAACAGATTTCCAGGAAAAAGAAGGCTCTGTGGAAAGAGACTGGACAGTTAAATCAAACATGGCAAGCTGCAGATTGACCACATAGTATAAAAAGTAGTGGAGAAAGTGTGTGAGAGAGTGTGTTTGTGAAAATCCTATAGCAGGAAAAAAAAACAAAATTTTATGTTTGTTGTTTTTTGCTATCGGGATTGCTAAAAAGATGAAGAAACATTTGAGTCTGGTAAGTTCCTCTGACCTAACTCCAAATTCCTTGCTATCATTTTGCTGGCAGAAGGGTGTCCATAGACAAGCAAGTGGCTTACACAAATGACAAAAACTAGATGACATTCGGGCATGAAAAGCCATTCTGTAAAACTACCTTGGCTTAACTCTCTTGCTCCCTGACTCCCTTTGTAGTAAAGTTTTTGCCATGTTGCCCCACAGACCGTGAGTGTTTCTGCCCGTGTGTCAGTAGCAGATGTGTGTGTCGGATGCTACCGAGGAAGGCGAGGGCGAGCTGTGGCACCAGGGCCTGCGCCCATGCCAGGAAGGGTGACTGGATTCCCTACATGCAGTGCAGGGCCTGGGCCCCAGTGCCTGGAGGAACTGGTGACATGGTAGAAGAGGAAGGTTCTTCCAGAGCCTGGGGGTGTGGCTGGCGTGCAAGAAGCAAAAATGCTCTTACAAACCATATGCATAATGTGTAAGACATGCAACCGATCAATGTTTTGTTTCATTCTATACAGCTGTATTTTTCAGGGGGCAGCCGTGCATCTCCAGCATATTTGGAGTTCTGCAGAATCAGACTTCTGAAATAAATTAAGACTTCCAAGACACCTAAGCTTGTTTGAGATACTTGCTGATATTGTGGGGAAAATGTTGTTATTCTTTATTTTCTACTGTTTTTTTTTTCTTCTTCCCAAAGTTCACACTTGCAAGCAGGATTATCTTGGCCTGATTCTTGGTGTCGAAAGCTTGCAAAACAGAACCAGCAGGTCAACAAAGCAGTCTCCTGTTTTCAGGCGGGGACACCTGGGGTAACTTCATTTGAGAGTTACTCCTGCAATCCTTTTCACTACCCACTGCTGTGTCACCCCTACTGTATTTGGGTAAAGGAATAAAAATTCAGATATTGCCCCTGTCCCTACCAAGTAGCTTAACCTCTATGTTATGTATTCTGCAAATACTGTCCTAACCTAGACGCTGTAGCTCTCTCTCTTTGGGAGCTGAGTATTCATGCATGATGCTTCGTCAGGCATATTTTGACTTCAAAATCTACAGTATCTGTTTTTGAAACTACTTCAGTATATTGGACCATGCCGGTTGTTTTCCTGTTTAGTTTTGTACAGACTGTCTCCTCAAAACTAATTTTTATGTCTGTCTCTATCTGAACATGCAGAGGAGCTTAAAGAAGGTAACTAACTTCCCTTCCCCTACACTGTCTATAGATTTGAACAGTAATTATTAGTATTTATGTGGCTTATTGGCTTACCAGGAGCAATACGTCCCTTCAATACCCAATAGCTGAAACGTGGTTCGTTGTAGGATTCCATATTGCAATCTGTACTGCAGAGCATAAAGCAGAAATGCTCAGAAAAAATCTGAATGGCAACTCAAAAGAAATTAAGATAAAAATGATATTTTAGCTGAACAACATTGAACCTTTTGCCGATAGAGCAGTTCTGTGTCAAGTTGTTTCATGGTACAGTCAAACACAAATTGTTGTTAGTGCATACAGGAAAGTCGGGAAGAGAACTCTCTTAAAACAGTTTGTAGTGAAGAGTGTATAGACATGAAAGAAGAGTAGCTAAGATGCATCTAGCTATGTTTTGGTGCTTGGTGGTTGTAAGAACTAACAGTCAAATAACTAGCATTAAAAGATAGTACCTTTCATGCTTTACAAGAGAATGTAACGTAGACATATTTTAAAATGCAATAATTGTTCCAAAGCAAGAACATCTTCCCAATCTCATTCGTGGTTTAATGAGGCCTAAATAAGGGGGCAAAATACACAGTTTGTAGATAGACAGATGAGTCAGTAGGGGAAAATGAGTCCTTGGCAAAGAGAGGTCTAAAGAGATCTGCCAGGATTTTTAGCTTATTTGTTTTCAAGTCATCTCTATAAAATTGTTTCAAAGCTGTTAGAGCATTCATCTGTTGAGGAATGGATCAACCATATTCTTTTTGATTCTGGTAGAAGAAACATTGTTGTAAAAGATTTAGATAGAGACTTGGAAGGATAACCTGACTGGTTGAGCCATCATAAGAAAAGGCATGGGAATGGGGACATGAAAAAGACATGGAGGAAACTGATTGGACTGGAGCACTGGGGCAGGGATATCCCCGATCCAAAGACTATTTTAATAAATAAATAAAAGTATTCTGTCATAAAGACTTCAGTAGATGCTTGTTATGTTTTTTCAAGGCACACCTTTGGACAGAAGTTGAATTATATGGTTATTCTATTTTTTTCAGGGATTTTTGAGCTATTTGATTACTGGTTATTTTAATATTAGAATTAAAGAATCCTTGTCAACTACATTTCATCTGAAATAATAAATAACATGGAGTTCTTTCTGTGCTGTATATATTTCAAAACAATGTCAAGTTTCAGGTCTTATTTAGAAATTACAAGGACATTCTAGGCTTATTTTTTTTCTTATAGAAATGTCATTTGAATATTTTATGTCATGTAGCACTTGATTTGTTTGCTAAAATGGTGTGTCTCTTTCTTTCTTTCTTTTTTTTTCCCCATGTGGAATCAGAGATAATGAAGTTAGCTATCTAGCTCTTCAATTATCACCATATTTTTCCCCCCTTCATGGGTGTTTGTTCTTCTTGTTCTAGAAGATGAAGAGTTTGTTGAATCTGGTCAACGAGTCTTTATTGGTATGTAGTGATGAACTAAGATAGCTGGGGCTTGACCTAGAAAAAATGCTTGTCTGTAGCTGAATCAAATTCTGTTCTTTACTTCCTGTGTAGTCTTACTGAACAGAATCCTAGCTACCATTTTCCAGACTTCAAAAAGTCACTTGCCTCCTACTAACACTTGTTCTCATGCGAACTTCTTCACTCGGTTTCTACTGAGAACTTGCCACCACCTTTTGAATTTGACTGCCCTACTTCCCTTACTTTAGGATTAGCTTTCCCAGGGCATGATGTTGTCCCCTTGCCTTTTGTGTATTGAGAATAATTATGATGGCAAGGTGAAGTTACAAACTCATCCCTGTTACTAAACCATAGTGGTCTTTAAAATGTTTATGTTAGTTTTGGAGGCTGGAGTGAAGGTTCCAGGTTTGATTTTAGCAGAATGGATCAGCTACACTTTCAATCCAATCCTAGCAGTGCTCTTTATGGCCAGAAATTTTCCTCAGGCTTGTTTGGGAATTATATTTTAGTCATTAATTCTGGTCTAATATGGGGGTGATTTTCAAATTTAAAAAATGTGGTTTTACTTCTATAACCTCTTCCTTTGGTGACTTTTAATACCGAAGGGCTTTTTCACCTTGCAAAAAGCTCAAAACTGCAGTGCATTTTTCCGTAAGTTAAAAAGAGACGATGTGGACTAAACGGGTTGTCTGTGAGGTGTGTTTTTCACCGCTGGTGCCTCTGTCCCTTGCAGCGGGTTTCCGCAGAAGCATGCGCCTGTGCCGCAGGAAATCCCGGGCCAACAAGCACTCGTGTTACGCTCAGTGCCCCAGCAGCTGTTACAGCGCGCTCGCCGCTCCCTATGAGGAGGTGCTCAGGTACCAGCGGCACCCGACAGACAGGAACAGACTCATCATTCTAGTGGGTAAGCTGTGGTTTACTTTCTCGTGCAAACCCCACCACCTGTAAGGAGGGCAGGAAGCGGTCAGTCATCATCTAGTCCATCGAGACTTTCTGCTGCTGACTGCAACGGGTGATGGCCGAGAACTGTGCGGTAGCTCTGAAAGCAGCAAATAGTGGTTCTTTTCAATTTGACAGTGTTGTTGCTTTTATCAGATCTAATAGTCTTTTATAAAATCCAGTAGCATCAAGCGTGGTTTCTTTTGTTTCCGACAGAAGTAGCAATGTGACTTTGATTCTGCTTGATAGATCATCGTTGTCTGTTGACTAAAATCACAAGTTCACCCTATGTAAAGTCTGCACTGGCACGTGCTGGCAGGTTGGGAGCGCGCACGCAAAGCGCCGCGGTCAGTCACGCCAGTTGTTTTTCCAACAACGCAGGTCCTGCAGGAGTTGGAGTGAACGAGCTGAGGCGAAGGCTGATCACGAGCTGCCCGCAGCAGTTCCGGAGCGCTGTCCCTCGTACGTAGCGCCCTTCCCTGCCCGCTTTCCCCCTCAGCAGCCCTAGGAAAGGACAGAGACCTCCCCCTTGCTCTTGCGTGTTTGTTGCTGCTGTTCACGTTCAGCTCTACTAGAATCATTTGCTTTGCAAGGCTTGGTTTGAGGCAAGTCACACAAAGGTATTTGATGGGTTTCAGGAGATGTATTTTGATTTTTAGGTAGCTATGCATTATCTGCATGTTTTTTGGGTAATCCTATGTTTTTGTTTTTGTGTTTTTTTTCAAGTCCAGGAAAAAAGGAAGACTTCCTAGGGTTATTATAAGGATAATTTTTTAGTGTTAAAATGATGAGATATGGTACTGAGGGTAACAGAGGTTTATGCTTAGTAGGCTTTGCAGCTTTCCTTATTACCTTTCTTTTACTGATTGAAATTTATGCCATTTAATTTCTGACTTAATCACTGAAATTGCTACTTGTGGTTTGGATAACCAAACAGGAAATAAATGAATCGGAAGTGGGTTGAAAATTTAGGCATTTCATTATGCTTAAGATACCAAATTTGGGGGAAGTGAAAGTGTGGGATGATTCGGAATGAACTTGAATCGAATTCACCTCAGAGAAAGTGAAGAAACAGTTATGCAAACTGGCCTAAAGCAATTCCTGATCATTTTAAGTCAATTAAATCACCTCTCCCATTCCAGGAATTGTGGATGTTCTTTCTAATTTTTCCACTGGATAACCAAAAAGTAGACAAGGCTTTTGCTCTGGACTCCCAAATAGCTCCTTTTATTTCTTACAAAAATATGGATTTATACTCCTTAATGAAAGGCTGCCTCATTTATGTTTGTTTAAATTACGAATATGGACTTGAAATTGTGCGTTTTTTGTTTGGTGGTTGTTGTTGTTTTCTCTCCAGATACTACTCGTGTTCAGAAGAGCTATGAAATGAATGGTCGTGAGTACCACTATGTATCAAAGGAAACCTTTGAAAACATGGTGTACACTCACAGGTAACTGGCAGAGACCAATTTCACTCTTTGCACTTAAAATGGGAAGACCGGTTTTGTTGTAAGGCCCCAGGTTTGGGCTCCTCTCCTCATAACTGCTATATATGTCATCGTATGTATTGAACGGAGAGTCAGACATTTATCATATGCGTATCTTTGTGGGACTTCTGGAGTGATGACATTTCCATGTAGGCGCCTGAGACATAAGGGTCGAACTTTCAAACGTGACTGTGCACCTCTGTGCTTCAGAAATCCCTCTGCCAAAACAGCCCAGCTCAGCACCAGAAGCTACACTCCTTTATCTGTGCATCTTTGAGATCTTCTGATTATGATATTAGTGCTGTATAAACGACAAGTGTGTTGTCACTAGAAGTGATGATTGAAGTTTTCTTATACTTCTCTTAAGATAGACCAGAATTGCCACTTCTAAACACATGACTTGTCACAGGAAGATGGGTAAAAAGGTGTATTTTGGGGATGTCCTGATTGACACTAACAGTCTATTAGTTGCTGTTTTGCTCACCGTAGTGGGGAATAACAGATGTGGAGGTTATTCATGATGCTTTATCATTCAGCCTTGATTGCAGACGTAATAATTGCAGATTTCACCTTTAACTGGAGCCTTTGTGAGACTCAAGTGCTCCTTCATTTTCCTCCTGCTCTCTCACCACTGCTGCAGAATGCTGGAATACGGGGAGTACAAAGGGTACCTATATGGTACCAGTGTTGATGCAGTGCGAGCAGTCCTTGACGAAGGGAAGATCTGTGTAATAGATTTAGAACCACAGGTGAGCCACAAAAGAGCGGGGAATCTGTATCCTGTAAGGAAAAATAATCCTCTGTATAGACTTGAGCCATTGGAATAGTGTTAATTGCTCTGATTTGTCTTGTTCTCATACCTTATGATGCTTATTAATAATGGATTTTTTTTTTGAGTCTGGTCTTAGGGGGGAGGAAAAAACAATGGCAGTTGAAAGCGTGCCCTGATAGGGTTACTATGTGGAATTAAGTGATCAGTGTGGTACAGGTGCTTAATAATGTCTGGGCCAGGGATTATTAGTGAGGTCATCTTAAAGCAGGTGCTCCTGAGTAAGATTACTGCCAGGTCTGGAGATAACAGTACTGTTGTAAATAATTTGCCTTTTTTATGGGAATAAAACTGGGATTAATACTCTCGAAATACTTTAAATTCTTTTTACTCTCAATCTGCAGGGCATCCAAGTAGCCCGGACTCATGAATTAAAGCCCTACATCATATTCATCAAGCCACCCAGTATAAGTTGCATGAGGCAGTCTCGTAAAAACGCAAGGATCATTACAGATTATTATGTAAATATAAAATTCAAGGTGAGAGTTGGAGATGGACGAAACAGAGCTGATTACACTGGGATTTTGACATTAGCGCTTAATATATTCTTCAACTGTGATAACACTTTAAAAGATTGTGTCTTCATTAATAGATGTACATATTTTTGTTTTGTTTTTTTTTTTCCTTCAGATTTGCCTTGGAATGGTAGGATTATAATTTGTACCTAGGGAATTGAGGCATTTACTGCAAACAACCTTAAAGATGTTCCTCTGTAAATGTTTTAACTGTCTTATGACCAGATTTGAGTCAATATATGCATTTACTGCTTGCCCTGAAATATATGTAACGTGTTCTATTCAATGATTTGAATTTTTTCTCTTGTAGTTATAAGAACTTAATCTGTTATTTCAGTTATGCTTAATGACAGTACTGATGGCAATTCTATAGTGAATTCTATAAACTCACTCAAATTCCGCTTAGAGGAAGTCTTTGTTGCATTTATAAAGTGTCTAGTCCATTTTTTCTCCATGGTTTCCGAGACAGTAATCATCATCAGGTTCAGCCTCCTATGATTTCCAGCACATCAGTCCATAATTTAGATGGAAACTAATCTTATGGATGATGGAAATAATTGCTAAAATAGAGATGTAAATGTTGAGGAAACTTCCAGATAAGCTAAAATGCAGAAGAGGACAAGAGTTAGAAAACAGGATTTGTCTGCAGTCTGTAACATACTCTGGTCAGTAAAGTCATCTCAGAGCAATGAAACGCATGCTGGAGCCTCCTGAGACATAAGATAGGTTATTGGGGAACACATGGGAATAAATTAGGTTACTGGGGCACACGTGGGAATCGGCTGTGTTCAGAAGCTCAGAGCTGATGCTGGGATGAAGCACACCTCACTGTGAGAACAGCTGTAAATGGAAATAACTTGCTCTGCGCTATCTGATAGCCCAAGGGCTTCTGCAGATACCACGTGGCCTGGCTCTGCACACAGCAGTCCAGTGGATAGACTCAGTCTGTCTCTTGCAGGAAGAAGATTTACAAGAGATGGAAGAGTCGGCCAAGAAGATGGAAGCCCAGTTTGGTCAGTTCTTCGATCACGTGATAGTGAATGACGACTTGCAAGAAGCGTCGGCACAGCTGCTCTCGGCCGTCCATCGCGCCCAGGACGAGCCCCAGTGGGTCCCGGCGCTGTGGATATGCTCAGACACTCAGCCGTAATGCCGAGAGGCCGCCAGCCTCGTGAAGATTATGTTTTACCTCAGGAATAATCCTAGTGTCAGGACTGCAGGAATTTATCTTTGTATGTGAGGATTTGGAGGAGGATTAAGGAAGAAGCGGCTGCAGGAGATGTTATAATACAATGTTCTGCTTAGCTATCTCGTATTTCACGGTTTTGTACCAGAAAAATAATTGTGATGTCTCAATTACAAGAA